ATCGTTTTAGTCAGCATGGCATGCCCCGTTCCTGTAACAAAATGCCTACCTGCTGAGTTCTAGGCATCGGATGCATCCACCAAATGAGTACCCAAAGCAAGTTAACTCGAGCAGTCGGTTTCGCGGGAATCAGGCACTTAGCTGTACTTTGCATTCACATGGGCCACACGGCCACATGAGCTGAGGCGCCACTCTCCATGCCCTTGTGCCAGACTTTAATCCGACCTCACTTCGCCTCCAGTGCATCTGAAGCCTTGCTCGCACAGTGCCTGCCATGCTTCTGTTTGGGGTGCTTGGGCTACCTCTGAACGTATCGAATCAAGCGGCGAAGGTCGAGTAGGTCCGCGAATGCACATGACACCTTGGTGTTTCAGCGGCTGAGACTCTCCACGGCTTCNNATATCATGAGTTCCCCGATTATACCCATGCTGCTTTTGCATCCAGCTCGGAAGGTTTGCTCAATCCCTCGCCTCAGTTCGAGGACCCACTCGGCTGCGGCGTACTGTTCCAATTGTCGCAGTTGCTTTTCTCATTCAGCTGTTTTCTTGAAGGCAAAGACTTATGGCGCCGGCTGGTCAAGTGAGATCCAAAACTTAGTAACTTTTGTGGTGAGTACTGGGCCTGAAGTAGACTACAAGGAGCAAGGAAAACACTTGTGTGGAAAAAGATTGGTGGGCGCGCTAGGACGCATGTGCGTATGCCCAGTTGTCCAGCCTCCTCCTGCACGCCCATGCAAACGTCCCAAACAAACAAGACCCAACAGAGAAGCAGAACCCGAGTCAAGCTCTGGTGGTCCGGGGTGAGATTGGCGCCCACGAGCAAAAAGCTAGCGACTCCTTCGCGAGATTCCCTTGAACAGGTTCACTGGGATCGCCGCGGGGTCGGCCAGAGTGGTTCACCGCTTGTGTGCCGCCCTGTGGCGGGATGGTGTTCGCAATCGTCATGCCAAAACGCCCAAACTGCGGACCCCACCGCACCCATCAAGGACACATTCGACTGCCTGCGGCACCAGGATTTCCGCCTGGTACGTGGGATCTCCGGTGCTCATTGGAGCGCCGGTCCGGACCTCCGATCTCGCTCTAGCCCGGCTCTCCAAAGCAAGCAGAAACAAAAAACATGTATCTAGGTAGCATGTTAGCCATGTTGATGCATATGCGTGCATACATGCATGTATGCACACACACACACACCATAAGACATCTAAATAAGAAGATCCATGCAGCTGAACAAATGAACGAACACATTTAAAAACAAATGAATGAAACATCAATGGATAAATAATCATATATATATATACATATAATATGATACATGTATGTCTATATATATATATATACATACACATGTATGTATATAACATATAGGTATGCCGGTATGTATGTATGTATATCTGTGCGTATTCCAGGGCCGAGAGAGGAAGCAGGCACTCTCAGAGAATGAAGGAGGTCTGCTGTCTGAGTGTAGAGCGACGGCCAGATTCGTTTCTTCGACCTTCAGATGAAGAGCTCGTTGGGCTTGGCTTAGAGGGCTTATTCGGTTTCCACACGGACGAGCGCGAGGACGGCTGACACATTCGTTTTAGGGTCGAGGGGCTTAGTCTCGACATGTGTTTATATAGACTTCAGGGCTTTAAGGAGCAAAAGCTGAGGGCGGCGGCGGCGTCCCCAAGCTCGACGACCTTGGCCTCAAGCTCAGGGCACTCCGATTCAGGCAGCTTCCCACGCACATAGGACGATGTTAGTAACCTGTTGAGCCAAGCATC